GATAAAACCGTTTCCCAAACTGAATGAAGTGAATTCAATAATTCAGCAAGAAGAGAAAAGAAGGGACATATCTATTGATGAATCTACCACTGGAGGAATGGCATTGCTGTCAAGAAATAATCCCAAGGGAGCAGAGAGGAGAAATTATGGGATCCAAATGAGGTATTGATAGGAATGTAAAATACACTGAAAACGTTGCTGGATGAACTGATGAATTACGAGTGTGTTCCCAACTGCACTTGTGGAGGACTGAAGATAGTAGTTAGTAACCAAGAAAGAGTCTGGGTAATGAAGTTCCTCATGGGACTCAATGACTCTTACAAAAGTCTCAAGGCTCAAATCTTGTTGATAAAATTGTTTCCCAAACTGAATGAAGTGTATTCAATAATTCAGCAAGAAGAGAAAAGAAGAGACATCTTTATTGATGAATCTGCCACTAGAGGAATGGCATTGCTGTCAAGAAATAATCCCAAGGAAGTAGAGAGGAGAAATTATGGGATCTAAAGGAGGTATTATTGTACCTTTTGTAAGATGGCAGGTCACTCATTAGAGAGGTGCCTTAAGGCCAATAGGGATAAACCTGGATGCATACACTGCAAGATGCCGGGCCATACTATAAACAATTGCTTAGGTCACTCATTAGAGAGGTGCCTTAAGGCCAATAGGGATAAACCTGGATGCATACACTGCAAGATGTCGTGCCATACTATAAACAATTGCTTCAAAATCCATGGATATCCACCGGGTCACAGATTTTATGGAAAGACACAAGCCAATGTCATCTTCACAGATAATATACACCCTCTATGGAACCAACACAAGAGCAGACTAATGACAGAAATCAAGTCATTTTAACTTAAGAGCAATATGCTCATCTGATGGCTTTACTCAAATCAACAACCAATGAACCTCATGCACTCTCTTCCAAACACGTAGACACATCCAAAATTTCTAGTACTTACATGTCCTTATTTGCCTACAACACAAACAATAATGGTAAATCTGTTGCACATTGGGTTATTGACACCAGAGCTACAGACCATATGGTCTACTCCCTTTCATTTCTCACCACTGTTGAGTCTAAAATCACTCAGTCTGTTACTCTACCTAATGGTGAAATAGTATTAGCAACTCATATAGAAAGTGTTAGAGTCACCAGCAATCTGATTCTTCATGATGTTCTATACGTCCCATCATTTTCTTTTAACCCGATATCTGCCAGAAAACTGGTTCAAACATCCAAATGTTGCCTTATATTCTCTTCTGATTTGTGTTAGTACAGGACCTTTCAACTTGAAAGATGATTGGTCTGGGTGAAGTGAGGTAAGGCTTGTATCATTTGGTGCAAGAAGTAGTTTCCCCTACCAGATTAATTCAAGACCTACCTAAGTTAGTTGACAAAACTATTCTGTCAGCTTCTACTGTTTTCAATCAAAACGATTTCGATCTATGGCATTTCAGATTAGAACATCCCTCATATTCAAGATTACTTTTAACCAGTTTGCATCATGACTGTAAGACAAAAAATACAAAAAAAACCCTGTTTCATCTGCCTCTTAGCCAAGTTACACAGGCTGCCCTTTGATATTAGTCATTACAGATCTAAAAATAGCTTCGATTTAATCCACTGTGATTTGTGGGGGCCTTGTACTAATGTTTCTTATGATGGATCAAAATACTTCCTTATTATTGTTGATGATCACAGTCGATGCACTTGGATTTATTTGTTAAAACTAAAATCTGATGTGTTTGTTACTTTGCAAAATTTTTATGCCATGATTGAAACCCAATTTCATTCCAAAATTAAGATTATGAGTACTGATAATGGGGGGAGTTCAATTTAAAACGATTTTATTCTGAACAAGGCATCATACATCAAACTACATGTGTGGAAACTCCCCAACAAAATGCTATTGTTGAGAGGAAACACCAACACATCTTAAATGTAGCTAGAGCACTTAGATTTCAAAGTGGGTTGCCTATGTTGTATTGGAATCAGCGTGTCCTGACAACAGTCTACTTGATAAACAGAACACCCACCCCTACTCTTGAAAATAAAACGCCATTTGAAGTTCTTTTTAAAGTTGAACCTCGCTATTCCAACCTTAGAGTCTTTGGTTGCCTGGCTTTTGCTGCAACACTTGCACATAACAGACACAAATTTGATTTAAGAGCTAGGAGATGTGTGTTCATGGGGTACCCATTTGGAACTAAAGGTTACAAGTTAGTGGACTTCGAAACCAACAAGAATTTTCTATCACGAGATGTGGTATTCCATGATGACATATTTCCCTACAAAAAATCAAGTGCCAAAGCTGATAATGATCTGTCTACTACCATTCACAAATTACCAAGTCCTACAGACTTGGTCTTTCCTCAACCAGGCCAAGTTGATCTAAATTACTCTGCTAATCCCAATTTCCAATCACATGTGGAGCCAGCACAAAGCTCTATCCAAAATAGAAAATCCTTAGAAATAAATCAGCTCTCCAATGAAGCTGAAATATCATTCAGCCCCCCAAGAAACTCACATATGCCTCGAAAATCTGACAAAAATAGAAAGGCACCAGCTTATCTTCAAGATTTTATTTGCCAACAAGCATCCTCACCCGCTCATTCACAAGAGTCTTACAAGCAAAAGGGTGCTGCGATTTCAGGTAGTCCTTTTCCATTATGTTCAACACTTTCATATCACAGGATATCTGATAAACACAAAGTCTTTCTAGCATCCATACTCACACAACAGGATCATGTTACTTACCAAGAAGCTATCAAGTATCCTGAATGGTGTAAAGCAATGCAAGCTGAAATAGATGCTCTTGAGTTGAACCAGACCTGGACTGTAACAAACCTGCCACCTGGGAAGGAGCCTATAGGGTGTCGATGGGTTTATAAGGTAAAATTCAATGTTGATGGAACAGTTGAAAGGTATAAGGCAAGGCTGGTGGCAAATGGGTACACTAGCTGGAAGGAATTGATTATCACGAGACCTTCTCGCCGTAGCCAAATTGGTAACAGTGAGAACCTTATCACAGTAGCAGCAGTGAAAAGTTGGTATTTGCACCAATTTGACGTAAATAATGCCTTTTTACATGGAGACTTGGAGGAGGAAGTATATGTGTAGGTCCCTCCTAGTTATTGTGTTGATGGAACATCAAAGGTTTGCAAACTTAATAAGAGTTTGTATGGTTTAAAGCAAGCATCTAGGCAATGGTATTCAAAGTTGTCTATCTTCATTATTGGTCAAGGATTTAATCAATCCAAGGCTGATTATAGTTTGTTCACAAGAAGTACCAGTAATTCATTTACGACCGTATTAGTATATGTGGATGACATAACAATAGCTAGAGATAATGTGAAAGTTATCAATTCACTCAAAGCCTCACTTGATGATAAATTCAAAGTTAAAGATTTGGGAAATTTTAGGCACTTTCTTGGGATAGAAGTGGCTCTATCAGCAAAAGGAATTCAAATCTGTCAAAGGAAAGATGCATTGGACATTTTGGCAGATTCTGGAACCATTGGAGCTACCCCAACTAAAATACAACTTGATCAAAATATGAAGCTGTCAAGAGATGAAGGGAAAATTCTTCCTAACCCTACTATGTATAGAAGATTGATAGGAAGACGCTCTATTTAACGATTACCAAGCTTGAAATCTCTTATTCGGTCCACTTGTTAAGTTAATATATGTAAACACCTAGAATGCCACACCTAAATGCTGCACATAAGGTGCTGAGATATGTCAAGCGATCACCAGGCCAAGGATTATTGTTTTCATCATCCACTGATTTGCAAATTAAAGCCTATAGTGATTCAGACTGGGGAGCGTGTCCAGACTCTCGAAGATCAGTAACTGGGTATTGTGTATTCATTGGCTTATCATTGGTGTCTTGGAGATCAAAGAAATAAAACACAATATCGAGGTCTTCAGCAGAAGGAGAGTACAGAGTGATGGCTGCAGTTTGTTGCGAGATAACATGGCTTTAAGTATGTTCTTGATGATTTGCAGATATTCCATTCGCAGCCGGCTGAATTACTTTGTGACAACCAAGCGGCTTTACACATAACAGCCAATCTAGTGTTTCATGAAAGGACGAAACACATTTAACTAGATTGCCATCTTGTGCATGAGAAAATACAAGATGGGAGTGTTACTACTAGGCATGTTCGAATAGGTTTGCAAGTGGCTGATATTTTTACAAAGCCTCTTAGTTCTAACATTTTCTACTCACATTTATCCAAGATGGGAGTAGAAAACATCCACTCTCCATCTTGAGGGGGGCTGTTGAAACTTGCAAACAAACCAACAGAATTAAGAAGGGACTAGAAGGCTGCGGCCACAAGAAATGCATTGGAGTGGAAGCTGCTAGTGCACATGCTGAGAAGTTAGAATAGATTCCAAATTTGTTATTTAGTGTAATGATTAGTGTGCAATAGAATTTTGACACTTGTACAAGTTTGTTACATTGTATTGTGTATATATATGTAGCTGTACTCTTAAAACGAATTAAGAAGTTCAGAATTATTTTCAGCTTCATTCATCCAACCTGAGTTCTATTTTTCTTCCCTTTATTTTCTTCATCTTATTAGCAACATTAATCTAATATTTCTTATATAATTAAGGTTCTCTTGCCACAGTGAAAGTTTTTATCCTGCCAATATCAATTTCGTTCATAGCTATTTGAGACGCAATTTGTATTGGCTGTAGACTACAGTTAGAATTGATATTTTCTGTGAGGTTGTAATAGTATTCTTAAGCTAATATTCGTTTTCGGTATCTTTGTTAGTAGACTTTTTCATCCATTGTGTTAGCCGAATATGAAATTCTCCTTTTATCTTATACCGCATATTTTGGGAAAAGGCTTGGGAATAACTTTTTAGACAATCTGACTCTTAGAAAACACTAGATATTATTCAAATTTTGTAGGGAGGATTTCTCCAATGTATTATTGAAGAGTTCGCTTGATAAGAGAGGAAGTTTTTAACAGTGTGCAAACATGCTCAAGGTCCCGAATCATCAGGTCGCAGGACACAAAGCCGGCGATGGGAAACTTGGGCCCCTTGTCGATGATTCAGGCCGTTTCTACAAGCCTCTTCAGGGTAATGATCGCGGATCAAATGAGCTTACTTTCTACACATCTTTCTCTTCAAACACTAGAATTCCTGACCACATTCGCAGATTCTTCCCTAAATTTTACGGCACTCAGCTTGTTGAGGCGTCGGATGGGTCCGGCTTGCAACCTCATCTAGTTTTGCAAGATCTTAATTTTGGTCGAGTAAATCCATCAATAATGGATATCAAAATCGGTTCTCGAACTTGGGCTCCACAAGCATTAGAGGACTACATTCAAAAGTGTTTGAAGAAAGATAGGGAAACTTCAAGCCTTCCAATAGGATTCAGGCTATCCGGGTTCCAAATCTATCAAAACAGAGAATTGGGATTCTGGAAGCCAGAGAGGACGTCATTTCAGAGTCTTTCGGCTGATGAAGTTAAGTTATTTCTAAGAAAGTTTGTTTCTTCTAACACATCTGCAAACTTGGATTTGCAACCTGATTGCTCTTTTGCTTCAATTGTTTATGGTGGTTCAACTGGTATTTTATCGCAATTACTGGAACTAAAAGCATGGTTTGAGGATCAAACTATCTACCACTTCTATTCTTGTTCAATCCTCATTATGTATGAAAAGGATTTCGTTTCAAATGGAAAGATCCCATGTGCAGAGATCAAACTTATTGACTTTGCACACGTTTATGAAGGCAAGGGAGTTATCGACCATAACTTCTTGGGCGGGCTCTGCTCGCTGATAAAGTTCGTTTCAGAGATCATCACTACTCCAGATGAGTGTACAACTGAAGCTTCTCCGAAGGACATTCAGAAGAATCAGATATATTTTGAAAATGGTACGAGTTGAACGAAGGGTTGACATAAATTATGCTTAAAGAATTGAAACTTCATGCTGCTGCTACTCCAATGATCAAATTTGACGTTAGCCACTCATCTTGAAGCTTAAAGATTTTTGTGCATTTTGATATCTTCACATTATTAATGTTTTTTTTTTTTTGCATGTTTTCCTCTCCCGTAGTTTCCTTTCCCCTTTTGTTGTACCCACAAATAATATTCATTTCTCCCGACTCATGGGTTTATTAGAGCTATTATGTTTTACAGTATTGATTGTTGGAGTGTAAAGGACAAACTTTTTAAATACGAGGATACTAAGGTGGATGTGGTCATATTCAGGGGCAGAGGGAGGGGGCCCAGGGTTTCCCCAAGACCATTTAGATTTTCTTAGTTATAACATTTTTTTATTTTATTTTTAATTTTTCCCTATGGCTGCACTTGTTGTATTAAAATGGATAAGATACAAAAAAAAATTGAGAATTTATCCCGAGTAAAAGTGCTGACGATTGAAAATGAATTACAAGAAAACATGGGTGGTTGAGATATGTATTGTATAGAACTAAAGAGGATCCCGTACATTTGAGTGACACGATCTCGATGGACCGAGTTAAGATATTGAGATGTAGATTAAAATTAACACGATATTAAATAGTTGTTAAGGAACACGAGTAACATGGTGGAGATAATGTAGAATTTTTGATTATGTGACCTTTTGAGTTCAAACAAGATCATCGGAGAGGTCATTGCTTGAGGGGGAAGCGATAATCATATGTGGGCAGTGATAATGTGATACTTCATTCGAATGAAAATTATTGGAGATGTGCGACTAAAACTTCTACACTGATTAGGGGAATAATATCTAATCTATAAGAGGATTAAATTCGTTACCTTTTTGAATGGAATCTGAAATCCCTACTCATGAACAAATTTTGATTAATCTTAATTTTGCTGGAGCTTTTCACCAATTGACGATAAATTGTGGGAGTGACAACATAGGAGGGGATTATGATATTTTTAGTGTTGATTCAAAGATGTTTTCATTTATAAGAGTGATGCTATCATAGTAGTGAATAAAGAGAAGGAGATGCTATTGTGATTGTTAAGAATTCAAGTGTTTTGGATCTTTCACATAATTAATTTCAAATTTATTGGAAATAAACACAATTGCTTTGTTCATCCTAAAAGGGTGGGTGTTAGATTATAGTTTTTAAAAAAAAAAAAAGCAACATTTAATGTTGGGAATTCATAATTACAAATGTTTCAAAGTAATTTTAAAAATAACAAATAGTGAAAAAAATTCAAAAATGAAGTGGTTATATTTTGTAACATCTCATAAAATGTGGTGATCTATAATTTAATAAATAGATCAATATCACAATAACATACAATGGTAACATACTAATTACAAATCACACAAGTTCACATCACAAAAAAGCATTCTGTGGGAGTTACAATCATGAATTTAGTCATAAATCATACAATTAATAAGTTACAAGTTATTTATTAATTACAAATTATCCAATTAACATATTATTCACCCATCTCATCTCACATCACCGTAGTCCACCAATGTCAGCACCACTGAAATCGTCGTCACCACCTCAAATCCACCTCACCTCTACAATCAGTACCACCAACACCACATTCACCTCAAATCTACAAACACAACCACGACCTTCACCTCCAATCCACAACCACTATCGCCAAAGTCAATACACTCAGCACCTCAAATCAACAGTTACTAACTTGGTAGGTGGTTTAGCATAATCATTGGAAGCCGAAATTAGATTCTTCCGTTTCATATTCTCAACTTGATTCCCATCGGAACTGTTAGAGTTCATATTTAATTTCAAATTAATAGTTTATGAGAATTCTCAGTTCTCACTACTAATCCTGGATGTTTCTCCTTCATTTCCACCTTCTTCGGCTTCTAGCGAACCCAGTGTTGCGTTTTTTATATCATAAGTGTACGATATCGTAACAAGTAATACAGTGAACATTTGAGTTCTGATTATCGTTCCCACGAGAACTATACTTTAGAACTTAATCTAATTTATCTTAACTCTTATTTGACAAAAATAAGTTAATATTTATGATAGTTGTAATTATTTTTCCTAACTACTTTTAACTAATGAAAAAATAAAATGATTGCAAACAATTGATAATTAAATATATGTAATGAATATTAAGGCATAACAATATTATTTATTGATCACCTTTATTCTTAATTCAAGATTCATAACCTAATGTAGTGTTCGATCGAATTCTTCTATTGTATTCAATTTATCTCTCTCGAGTTCTCATTGAACTTCTTTAACTAATTAAATTTCATATCTCCATGCGAATCAATTTTAGTTAAACGAAATACTAGTTTTAAAAATTTATATTATGATCGCAATAATTAGTATAGCTATCTCTACACGTTATACTAATTTATCGGATTTTATTATATGGTCTAAATTTCAAACTCACTTCTCGATTCGTAAGAGACTCACATAATCAATAAATTATTGATCATGTAATTTAATGCATTAAATTCATAATAAAACCAACACATAAATAAATAACAGAATCCTTGAATAGAAAAATAAAGGATCACAAATCAATTACATTGTTTTCCCTAATATAAAAATTAGTTATTCATATTGTAAAAATAAAAACGTACAAAAGTGGAAAGATATATATATATATAGGCTTAATTTGGGCTTCAACTAAAATTTTCAATACAAGTCTATTGAGGTTCGTTTAACTCTAAACCATTTAATATATAATTTCTCTCTAAGGAAGTCGTCTTTGGATTTTGCCATTTTTCGCCACTTTTACTTTCTTTTCTTCAATTCTTCATTAAACATAAAATTTTACCTACAAAACACAATATAATATAAATTAGGTAGAATGTAATCCAAAACACAATAAAATATAATGATTTATGATCACGAATAAGTGTATAAACTACACTTATCACCTAGCTGTAGCTCCGTCTCCTCTTAATAACCCATTATGCTCCTCATTCTCCACAGTTTTCACCTATAAAACCTAATTCTCTCTCTTTTGTTACTCAAATTTGCATGCAGTTCTGAAAATTTATTCAAGTGATTATTGTAATAAAAAGTGTTAGAATATTAATTACCAGAATGTAATATATCGTATATTGAAAAATAATAAACAATTTGTAAATAAATAGTAATAAAAAATAGTAAATAAAATTGCAGAAATATATTAATCGCTAAAATAGAACAGATTTGTGAATTGAGACCTGTGTAAACACAGTTTTCTTAAAACAAATTCACCCCATCACCATAATTGCTTGAGGTTTCATACGATTGTTTGTCTTCCAAGAGACAACGAAAAAACAGTAAAGTCTGAGCACTTCAAATGTTACTCCGACGAACTGACAAGTATTCGAACATGACCACCAAAGCTTAGACAAGAAGTGGAAATTTTTGCAGAAAGAATGCTGGAAATGTTACGGAGAGAAAAGAAGGAATTTGTGGTAATGAAAAAATCGAGCTCTATACATAGGGTCCAACATGAATAATAATGACTCCATAATGAGTGACTTTACAACCAGCAATTATGGGTGTTATACAATTAACTTTACCATTAACCCACCATTATATTTAATTTTGAGAGCTGAAAAGTTAGTTTGAAAGAAAAAAATTAAGTAAATTATAGAAAATAAACGCAAAATGTGGACACTCCTAAATGGCCAATTTTTGGTCTGACATTCTTGTACACACGTTGCACCCGCACACAAGTGTGGGGTCTGAAGTTCTGATTCAGTCTTTCATTTGCACCCTCTGTACACTCATGTGGGGAGAGCCTTTACACCATTCCACATCCCTTCAACATAAAACCATCTTTCAATGCATCAACTTTGAGCTTCAATTTCTTGTTCATCCGAGCATTACTTTTGGCAAGTAATTATATGATTTCGATGTTCTCACGGAGGAGAACACGAATCAACTTTGATCTTTCAAATTGATTGAACGGGTCCCACTCAAAATTATGCCCAAAGTGGCTCACTAAGACATATGTTTCAACAATCCCTCATATGAATGAAAATTTAGAGACACGGAAACGGGAGACATAATATAGTTTAACGGTTGAAAACTATATAGAATATGTAGATAATTACTCTTTGAACCTTCCCTTGTAACAATATATTTACTTTACTAGCTAACTAGTGGACACTATATTTTTGAACTGTTATGCCTTTTATGTAAATGTTGATATATTCCATACGAGACTCTTCCTAACACAATTCTTATTGTTATGTTCGTTTGTGGCAGAACATGTGCCTGGTTTTGCAAGAATTCAAAAGAATTAAGCTCTACACAATTCCCTTAGACGAAGCCCCATTTCTCTCTCACATAGGTGATTTCTTATTATAAGTTACCCACATTACTTCGTTCAATTTTTGACACATAAAAATTATTAAAAGTCTATTGCTTATCATTAATCATTATGGGCATCACTGTTACACCATAGGAATGAAGAGAAGATAATATCCCCCACATTGATTCAGCTAAGTCCTTATGATTAGGCTGTCCATTCGAACCTATATCGTGGGATCTCCAATCAAATATGTTGGATTTTTCTATTAACTCATTCATTCAAGGGTTTAAGTCTCATTCATTTCGATAATTTTCTAATTAACTTTCTATTCAACCCTTTGTTTAACAGATCTACAATGTTATCCTTTGAACTTATATAGTCAATAGAGATGACTCAAATTGAGAGTAGTTGCCTTATGGTATTGTATCTGTAATGTACATGTCAAGACTACCGTTATACATATTACTCTATATCCTTTCAATCACTGATTGACTATCAATTAGCATAAATACATTCTTTAATGATCGCTAGATATGTAGTATAGTGGAGTCCATAACTATGAGTATATCTTAAATACCTTGGTACTCTTTTTATTCCTTTTTAGTGGTCAGCTCCTGGATTGCTTGTGTATTTACTTAGGTAACTAATTGTGTAGGCTGTCTGGTCTTATACAAC